ACCAAACTACTTATCTTGGATATTAGTATATCAATGTTCATTGCAGCATTTCTACAATGGCCAAAAAGTAGAAAGAAACGAAGTGTCCATAAACAAATAAAAGGATAAACAAAATGTGGTGTATATATATACAATAAACTATTATTCAGACACAAAGAAGAGGAATGAACTTTTGATTCATGCTACGACATGAATGAAGCTTGAAAACATTACAAGTGACATAAGCCACATACATAAGGTCAAATATTGTATAATTCCACTTACATGAAATACCTAAAATAGGCAAATTCATAGAGAAAGAAAGTAGATCAAAGGTTTCCAGGGGCTACGAGGAGAAGGAATGGGGAGTAATTGCTTAAACAAAGTTTTATCTGAAGTGATAAAAAGGGTTTGGAAATAGTTGTGATGATTGCACAATATTATGAATGTAATGTCATTGAATTGTACAATTAAAAATAGTTGAAATAGCAAATTTTATTATATATATTCTATGTAATGCATTAATATATATTACCTAATTTTAAAAATTAATAATGTAATACACTAAAAACTATTGAGTTGTATACTTTTAATGGGTGAATAGTATGGCATATAAATTAAATCTCAATAAACTTTTTGAAATTTATTTTTATGTACTTATTTTTTTAATGTTTATTTTTGGGAGAGAGATAGAGACAGAGAACAAACAGGGAAGCAGCATAGAAAGCTGGAGTCACAGAATCCAAAGCAGGATCTATCCACCAGCAGAGAGCCGGATGCTGGGCTCAAACTCACAAACTGTGAGATCCTGACCTGAGCTGAAGTTGTATGCTTAACCAACCGAGTCACCCAGGCGCCCCTAAACTTTCTTTTAATGCTTATCTTGGCAGATCAAATTTTTCATTGTTGGTGTCTTCCCTAGGACTTTAGCTTCATCTCACACCAATTTATGCCATATAACCCACATTCTAATCACACCAAATGATATGCGATTCCTTGTCTACCCTGTCTTTGTACTAAAGATTTTCTGATCTTTGGGTGCCTGGGTGGCTCAGTCAGTTAAGTAAGTGTCTGACTCTTGGTTTAGGCTCAGGTCATGATTTTACAATTTGTGAGTTCAAGCCCCACATCAGGCTCTGCACTGTTAGCAAAGAGCCTGCTTGGGATTTACTCTCTCCTTCTGTCTCTGCTTCTCCCTGGCTAGTTCTCTCTCTCTCAAAATAAATAAATAAACTTTTAAAAAAATATTAAAAAAATTTCTGAGCACTTCTTCTAGAAGAGTGGTTTGGAAACTTCTCATTCTGAGAACTTTTACTATCTTAAAAATTGAGGACTTGAAAGAAATTTTGTGCGAAATGAATCATATATATTTACCATATTATATATTTAAACTAAAAATTTTGTTTTAAATATATATTAATTTCTTGTAAAATAAGAATGAATTGATTGCATAGTAATACAACTAACACCTTCTAGGAAAATATCTGTATTGTTTTATTTATTTTTTAAATGTTTATTTATTTTGAGAGAGGGAGTGTGAGAGAGAGGCAGAGAGAAAGGGAGAGAAAGAATCCCCAGCAGGCTCCAAATTCAGTGTGGAGTGTGATACAGGGCTCAATCTCATGACTGTGAAATCATGACCTAAGCCGAAATCAAGAGTCAGGTGTTTAACCAACTGAGCCACCCAGGCACCCCTGTATTGTTTTAAATGAGAAGAGAATATGGCTTTAAAATTTTACAAGTCTGTTTAGTTTCTGGATTACTAGTAGACATCAGGATTCACACATCGTCTTCTTTTTCTGTTAGGTTGTTTTAGTTGAAGTATGTGAAGAAAATCCAGCCTCACACAGCTACGAAGTTCGAAGACAGAGGTGTTTTAATAGCCTTTTCAGATAATTCTGGATATTCTTTCACACTACACTAACACATAACAAGTGGTATTTACTTAAAGCTTAGCTTCAGTGTGGAATTAGAGACCATAGTGATGAACTTTTCATACTCTATCATATTAAAATCCACTGGACTATCCTATGCTTTGAATGGATCATTTACCCATTCATGATTTTCTTATCATGTCATTTGCAAAATATTGGTTCCCTAAGTCAAGCATATCTGTTGACCCATTTCATACCAGTACCTAAAATGTCAGCTTGATAATATCACCACCCATCTCATCAGAAAAGCCTCGAAGCACTGGGAACTTATTAAGCTTACTATACTTGATACAAATCTTCCAGAATTCTAACTTTTACATGAAAGCCTGATTTCTATTATTTGCAGCAGATATTGGAAATCATTTTCCTTGTAGTGATAGACTCATTGTATTCAGTCTTTAGAAAATGTCTGCCACACTGAGGTTTGAATAACCATAGATTGTCTGTTCCTCACTCTTTCAAGTAAAACATGGCGTTCCTTAAAAGAAGCACAAACCCAAATAATCACACAAATACTTGGTTCCTTCAGGCAACCAGAGAACTTCAGAATGCAGCAAAAAGTACCTTCTGTATATTTCATCACAGAGAATAATAAAGAGATGTGTACTGAAGGATCAAGATTTAATAAAATAAAAATGTTTTACTCTTTTTAAGAACGTTCTTAAGTGAAACAGGCTCATTTTTTCTCCCTGCTTTTGAGCAGCATTGAAAAAAATACAATGACTACTAATAGAGTTTGGTGCCACTGCCTTGATTAGCACTAGGTTGTCATCAGTTTGGCCACCATTGCTTTCACATCACCAGTGCAAAAGGTCAATACAGTGGAAAAGACAATTATCTAGTATTATTATGAAAAAACTACTGATCTCTTAGATTCCTCAAAGACCTATTAGGAGTCCCCAAGAAACCACACTTGAGGACCACAGGTCTAGAATTATCCTTTTTCTTCTTCTCCTCCCAAACCTGGTTCAGTCAATTAATAGATTTCTGCTGATCTTTCAAGTTTCTTCAGCTCAGGTCAGTGGCACCTTATACCCTTCCCTAAACAGATTTTTTTTTTTTTTAAATTCTCTAGTCCTTTAGTATCTTGTGGCTTCTACTAAATTTCACTGTTTATTTACAGTTTCTTCTGAAATTGTGGCTTCTAAAGTCTATGGACTGGTATTTAACTTTATATCCAGAATGCCTAACAAAAAATCTGTAGCATAGAAAATTAATAAATTAATTATTGTATTCTGGATACAATGTGAGCACTTTCAACTCTGAACTGCATCAGTGTGGAAGAAATGGGGGACCAGAGAGTATAATCTAAACTTCCTAGATAATATACTGAGTCAATAAATCTCAAATACATCTGTACTTCATGATGAGTATAGTTACAGTTGCTTTATCTCCCTACCCCTCCCTACCCTTCACACACACACACACACACACACACACACACACACACACACACTCTCTCTCTCTCTCTCTCTCTCTCTCCAAAACAGCATAAGGCACATTCTGTAATTTACAAATTGGTATGCAATTATCAGTAAGTGTAGTAACCTAGAGAATAAAGAAATGAGAATATATATTTATACAAGTATATGTTTGAACTAATTTGTAAAATCTGAGTACAATTTCAATAAGCAAATACTGGCCTAGCAGAATGTTAGGCACTGCATCAGGTGGCAATGTACAATAAGAAGTATGACATACTTATATTTATATGAATAAACATACAGTAGATGTTGTATCTCACAAGTTACCAGGTATATTAAAATAAGCTGATTTTTCTTACAAATTAGATAGTCATAAACTAATAAAATTTATGAAATTATTATTGAAAAAAAGTGTGGGACAATAAGCCAAAGTGTGGGACAAATACACATTTGATGAAAACAGAAACTGACATGGTCTTTTTGGACAGGAATTTGACCAGCTATAACAAAATAAACACTGATTCTATTTACAGGATTCTATTTCTAGGACTTTATGCTAAAGAAATATTCAAATGTGTGAATAAACATATTTATATGGACAAATGTTTATTGTGACATTGTAGGTAAGGATGAAATACCGGAAATAAACATTAATCAGAAGAAAATGATTAAATTACTTTATCTTTAGTGTAAAATAGGTACAGACTTTCAAAAGAATGAGATTAGAGTCTTAAATACTGAAATAAAAACTTTTCAAGATATGCATATTATAAAACATCTGAATAATGCATATACTATCATTCAATTTTGTAATTACAAATAATATACACATTACATGAAAAAAGTTACGAAGGCACAACAGCTGTTAGTTACGGGTAAGTAAATGGAATTGATGTTGCAGTGATGAGGCAGACATTTAGTTATTAAATCTATTTTACCTGACAACAATTTATATATTATTTTACAATTTAAAAAATAATGAAAAGGATTGACCTTAAATATAGTGAAACTGGAAAAGTGAGGGATATGTGAAAATCACACGGAGAGAAAAGCAAGAGGTTATAAGAGGAACATTAAGATCATCCTTGTGAAAGCTGGATAGCAAGAAAGGTGTTTTTCTAAACTATATAAATAATCCATACAATACTTTGCTTGAATTAATATGTCCCATAAAATATTAAAATATTTTAAAATATTAGATGATGTATTTACTAACATTTTCTCAAGACCACACACACACACACACACACACACACACACGAATAATAATCTCTGATACTTTTCTGAGAAAATACAATGCACTGAACAAAATTAGGCAGATATTCTTAAAGATATATTTTCACCCAGTAGAAGAAAATAAGATTAGCATAGTTTTATACCAAAAATAAATTGCCATTAATTCTGATATACTTACAAAAAGACATCATGAAGGAATATATTGAAAGTTCCATGATTAGAAACTAATAATCATAATATACATACTGTACATGCTAAAGGTTAATTGCTTCTTTGACTTTCAGCAGATCAGATAATATAGGTGCACTATTCTTGAATATAAACAAAAAAAATGTAATTGCTACATACAATTACCAATCTAATTTCTCTGCTAAAGCAAATGATACTCATTTTCATCAAATTATTTTAAAAAATATATTGTACTTACTTTCAACGATTACTTGTCTGTCTTCCCAGTTATCTTTGATAAGCTGTATATTTCCAAAGTGTGCATCACTGTAAAAGATTCGGTTGGTACCTTTTCTTCTTTGATTATAGTCAAAAGCCAAGGCTATGACATTCTTGAAATAATGTGGATTTTCATATGGCCTTATTGGTGAATTTAAATTGGTTTCATCAGAAAGATGTATACTTTTTAATATTGTTCTTCCTGAATATAGCAAATAGCCTTCATGCCTTAGGCAAGTAACTCCATCCTCTGCTAAATATCCATGGGCACAAGTGCAAGTTCTCCGAGAATTTCCTCGATAAAGACAAAGTTGCTGGCATCCACCATTGTCCTTAGCACAAACATTGGTCCCTAAAGAGGAAAAAAGGATACACACATACAGAAACATATATGTTTTTTTGTTTTGTTTTCAAAATATTTTTTTATAAAGTAGGCTTCATCCCCAGAATGGAGCCCAATGCAGGGCTTGAACTCACGACCCTGAGATCAAGACCTGACCTAATATCACAAGTCACTTAACTGACTGAATCACCAGACACCCCTCTTACAGAAATACTTTTAAAAATAATGTTGAATAGCCTATTTATTATTATTATTATTATTATTTTTAATACTGGTCAGTAAAAAAGTCAAATACTATAAAGTACTCACTTTTTTTCACACCAGTTTAAATCTTGGATTTCTTATTTAAAAGACTGCATCCTTCTGCTCTAATTATCATCCAAATAAAAGCATTAAATTTTTCTCTTAATCATCCAATTAAGTGTATAACTCTTTTCTGAAACTGGATGCTGAAACTGCAATAGGTTTTATGTACTGTAATCTTTGGCACAAGTAACAATTCTCTCAAAACATGAACTGGGTTCCCTAATAAACAGTGCACTGCTTTAAAATCTATGTCTATGAAATATGAAAGCTATCAGAGAAGTTTACAGTGCCAATGTACCTAACCTCCTAAGAACAGTAAGCTCAAGTTTTTACTTCAGCTTTGAGTGAAGATGTAATATACTATCAAGATTTCTCCATCAGGCTAATTTTCTTCCACAAATCCATCATCAACTATAAAATAATTATACCTTCCTTTGATGTCAAGGAAATTAATTACAATTGATTTTAATGGACATTAAAATGGATATTTAATGATATAAAATGGACATATAATTGAGGTAAATTTTAAAAAATCCAAGTAACATTCATATCAGTTTCAAAATACACATTTTAAGGGAGTGATGACTTCAGAAATACTTCACACCAACAGCAAACTTCTGAAGCCATAATCACTTTACATATTAAAATACAACACAAAATATGTGGTTTTGGCTACTTTTTACTCTCTAGTATCCTAATTGTGCTATGTATTTGTTTGTTAAATATGTATATTTATCAAGATTTTCTACATTAATTATACTGAAGGCATGCCAGGTATATAACATGTCCATATAATACACTGACCAAGGCAAAAAACTATCTATGTATGAACTATTGCGTATTCATTCATTAGATTACTATATACTTTTTATAGGAAATTAGATGTAAAAAAAACCTAGTTTTGAGGTTTGGGATTTTTATCAGAATCTCTAAGTTTGATCAATGTTTTTTTACAACAGAGAGAAATAGTGTAAAATATATTTATTTTATAAGAATGCTGACCTTTCTCTCTTACTCGGTTAAAGATTTTAACCTCCTTCAGGTTGACTCCAAGACCTGTTCTCATGGTTACGGTTTCTGTGGCATCATTCTTGTGGCCTCTTCTGATGGACCCATTGGCATGTGCTCTGATAAGAAGTTGAACATACATGGTCAACAATCTTTAAGTAATTCACATCAAGCCAGTTATTTAAACTGAAGATAACAGATGGTCAAGCAGAAGGGGAAAGAAACCAACTTTAGTCTGTGACATTGAAACACTTCAGCCTGGAATAGCAAGAGTGCCTGACTTTCTGTGGAAATCACATGGCTTTGTGAGATCCTTGTTGTGACCTAGCTAAGGAATGGCTAATCCTACAAGGGTAAAGCAACTGGCACTGAAATAACATTTTGAGGCTCGAATACTTATGAAAAAATAAATTACCTGTCAGACCAGTAGATGTAAGCCCCAAAGACTGCAACTGAAAACATATCCACATTGCTCCCTGACAGCACCATCTCACGATTCCCTCCAGTCTCCAGGTCAATTCTTTCTATTTTGTCTGTACGAGCATCACACCAGTACAATTTGTTTTCCTAAAGATCGATTGCAAAGTAATATTACAAGCAGTTTTGGATTAGATGGTTTATTAAAAAAAATAAGAGAACACTAAGAGTGGATTAATGCAAGTTGGCAGTTTATGTGCTTTACATACTTAAGAAATTCAACATACCTCATAGTCAATGGAGATACCATTTGGCCATGCTATTCCCATGCTTACAAGGATAACCTTCTCTGAGCCATCTAAGCGAGCCTTTCCAATGCAGGGCATCTGTCCCCATTCAGTCCAGAACAAATAGCTGAAATGAAATTGCTGATTTATAATAACATGCCGAAAAACACTAAAAACATATTATTAATAATAAAGCAGTAACATTCATACCAATAGAACAAAAAATAATACACTTTAAAAATCAACATCCATGCTGGCGAGGATGTGGAGAAACGGGCACCCTCCTACACTGTTGGTGGGAATGTAAACTGGTACAGCCCCTCTGGAAAACAGTGTGGAGGTTCCTCAGGAAACTAACAATAGAACTCCCCTAGGACCCAGCAATAGCACTGCTAGGAATTTACCCAAAGGATACAGAAATGCTGAGGCATAGGAGCACATGTACCCCAATGTTCATAGCAGCACTCTCCACAATAGCTAAAACATGGAAAGAGCCTAAGTGTCCATCAACAGATGAATGGATCAAGAAGATGTGGTTTATCTATACCATGGAATACTACATGGCAATGAGAAACAATGAAATCTGGCCATGTGTAGCTACATGGATGGACCTTGAGGGTGTTATGCTGAGCGAAATAAGTCAGGCAGAGAAGGACAAATATCATATGTGTGCACGTATAGGAGGACTAGGAGGAACTTAACAGAGGACCAATCGGGAGAAGAAGGGGGGAAATGGTGGGGGAAAGGGTGAGAGGCAAACCATGAGAGACTCTTGAATGCTGACAAAAACTGAGGACTGATGGATGTGGGGGGGAGGGGGGGATGGGCATGGAGGAGGGCACTTGTGGGGATGAGCACTGGGTGTTATGTGGAAACTAATTTGACAATAAACTATTTGTAAAAAAAAAAAAAAAATCAACATCCATGTGTTTATATTTGTGAAAAAGATTTTTTTATTTTAAAAAAATATTTATTCATACAAATCACAAGGATGGATTCAAACTCCCTCCAAAATACTTTGCACATGCTACTCACTGTCTGAAATGCTCTTCTCCAAACTGTTTCCCTAATTTGCTTTTGTTACTATCTCAAACACCATTTCCCTCAAAAACTCTTCTGTGTTGATTATTTACCCTATATGCTACATGGATTGGAGTGAAATTTAGTGTTATAGTTCTTATATTTCTTTACAGTGTTATCTTTATTAATGCTTTTTGCCCCCATTGGACAATAAGCTCAATGAGGACAGTGATTGTTTCTCATTTTCATCTGCTATACCTATAGCACTAAGCAATTATAAAATGTTTAAAATAAAAATTAGTGTTAGGTAAAATATTATTAATGTATATATGAATGCAGTATAATTTCAGTTCTGTCCAATTAGACTGCTAAATATAACCATTCCAATGTGAATTTTTTAAGTTACCTTGTGAAGCAATCATAAAACATAGATTCATATAAAAGCAGATATTCCTATTTTAGTAATCATGTAATACAAAATGAAACATGAAAGAAAACGAAATACAGAAAGAAAATCCAGAGTACGCTCAAATAAAACATGTCAAAAAACTAAATGTAGAAAAACAGAAGGCATATTATTCATGGTTCCTTTTGCTCATTCATTCTGCATACACAAAATTTATATTACAATACAAAACCCATGCTTTCAGATGAATAGGATCCATTCTTTAGAAATTATGTCCACTGAAGTTTTAATTCATGTCAGAAAACAGCAATGATTAGAATTTAGAAAAATATGGCAGTCACTGATTCATTCAGGCAAAAATGAATGTGTATTCTGTGCATATTTAAATACATATTATTATGCAATAATTATGTAATAATATATATTATGGAATATATATAATATGGAATATTATGGAATATATAATATGGAATTGAGGAATATGAATGTTCATTCCATAAAGAACAATCAAAGATGTACATTCATATTTTATATCCACTCAACTTATTATTTATCCATAAAAAGATACTTAAACTACATAAAAATACATGTATTCCCTTTATGCATATTGTTTTGATTTATTTTAAAGGTTGATTGTTTTCATGGAAATGTTGTATAAAATAAATGTGTTGGACTTTTACAACCAGATGAAAGGAAGGTGTGGCTCGAATCCCAAGTATATTAAATCCTGAAGAAGCTTTCATTCGTATTTACACGCTCTATAAATTAGAAAGGGAAAACTTTGTACAAGAAATCCAACTGGTATTTTATTGGTTAGCTATAGGTTGAAATAGGCATAAAAGAATCTAGGTTTGCATTAAAGTTAAGATTTTTAAACTTTAATGGAGAGCCCCATTGTATTAAAATATAATACAATGTATTAAATATATTAAATAATATAAATTATTTAAATAAAATTTAATAAATTAAATTAAATATGTTAAAATGTAATAAAATAACTGGGAGGTCAAGTTGGTTGCTCTATTTAACTTTTTAAGGACAAATTTTAGCATTAATAATGCCTCTACAATGACTAATCAGCCACTGTGCCAAAATGGCAGGGGATGTGACACCGTGAAGGAGGCATTTTGGGAGCCAAGGCAGACAGGTGCTTATTCAGTCTGATTGTTGTCATCTATTTTAACATACTCCAGAGTTTAAATATGAAAAGAAATATATGCAATATACCTTTTACTTAATAGCAATCTGCTTTCAGATGTACAAAATGAGTAATACAAATATTATTTTTAAAAAATAAGTAACAATGTTTTGAGTGAGCAGTGCAAATCAGCCTATTTAACAAACTTAGCTCAGATTCTCACAGCTATGGAAAGAGTGGCTCAGGAAGTTCATGATCCACAGTCACACAGTTGGTACGAAAAGGTCCAAGCCAGGAACTTGACTCAGCCTTTTCTAACCCAGGCCTGTGGTGTATTCTCTATGTTGTCTCACCAAATATAATACAATCATATAAAAATCTCACATAAAATGCTACTATTTCCTGGGTATAAGGAATTAGAACAAAGATCTTCATACTTAAAAAAACACAAAACAAGCCATGAAAAAGTTCCTAGTATCAAGAAGCAAGTCTCTCATTCTTTTTTTCTCTAGAAAAATCTGCATTACTTCCATGCAGGAGGGTTGGATGAATAACAATAAAATTAAGAATAATAATTACTCAAAATAGAACTATCTTGAGTACAGATTTTACTAAAATTTTCAGTAGTGATTTGATAAATTATCATTATATATGAAACCAAAAACTGCAGGAATCAGTTTTAAATAGCTAAATAATTTATCAACTTAATAAGACTAAAAGATACTATACCTACTAAAATTAAGCAACATTTTATGAATTTCAGGAAAAGAGTAATTTATTTGCTCCTTAAGCCAAAATTAAAAATAAAGAATAGAATTAGCACCTTGAGAACCTTCAGGGATTATAACTAAATGTAGAGAAAGAATACGAAGCTTATAAAACTGCAAGGAGAAACTTATGAATAATTTAAGATAGTAATTTACATAGATGTACTTGAGATATCTTTAATGAACATAGGTTCTTTGTATCTAAATGTGATTTTTCATGAAGGGAATAAATGAAAATCCTTATCACTGGTTTTTGAGACCCCCACAGAAATTAAGATTCAGTGACCGCATTACAGACTGATGCTGTTACCATTTGAGTTCAAAATTGGCTATTGTCAAATGTTTGTTGAATTGTAAGATATACTGAAGGAAACTGCCTTTAGAGTATTATCTTGGTTAATCTAGCACGGAAAATATTTCTCAAGTTTATCCCAGACATAGAAATTTTCATAATTGTCAAAATCAAATGTTATGTTATATAATTGAAGTTTCTCTGGATGATAATTTGTCATAAACTGTAAATTCCCATCTTTACAAAGGCTTGCAGTTACAGAATTGGAAATCACAAAATTACAAGTGGGACATTCAAGTGGTTTGAAGGATTATAAGAATACTGTCAGAAATCATCATAACACAAATATGCTTACTGTCTTATGAGACACAGTTCTTGGCAGGAAAATGTGCCATGAATGCATACTATGTCCCAATATTCATGTCCAATTAATTATTGACATTTGAAAAATAGGCAAAAGATTCCATTTAGTCGCACTGGAATTCCCAAAGACCTAGGATACACTTATAGTTCCCAAAAGTTTATTGAATTGATCATATGATCATTGTACTGATATCAATTACTTTACATGCAGGTACACTTATAAAGGAAAACTAATCTTTTCTATCACAATAAGTGAAAGCTGAGAAATATACAAAATATTATAAATGTTCTTGTGTCATTTCAAATGAATATTTTTTGAGAAATAAAGCTAACATGAAAACAAAGCTTTGACTTTGCTGGGGAAGGGTTAAAAGTGTGAGGTAGAAAAAGAATACTAAATAAGTCTAAATCATGATAAAAGGAATATTATTAAATGTGATTCTTTTAGATATATGTACAAGAGTGAAAAGCAACTAATGTGAATCAGTCATTTTCTTTGGATTTAAGATTCTGTTTTTGAATGCTAAACGATTCCCTTTGAACACAGATCTAGGTTGCAATTTTTACAATAAACTCACCATTTCTTCATATTCTTATGTCCTTTTAAGACAGCATGATTTACATACTTTATCACATATGCTAAAGAAAGATGAGATAACCAAAAATGTCCATGCTGGCACAAAAATAAAGATCATATCATTCTTTTACAGCCCGTTGCCTTGGTTGAGAGGAGAAATGAGGATGTCATTGTTTCCTCTGCCACACTGAGGGGAACAGTGTGATACTACATCAGCAAAGAATATAAAAACAAACAAATCTACAAATTAACGATAGCAGCTAGCCTTTGTGTGAAAGCACAAAAGCATGAGCTTTTGACAACAACTGCTTTCAATTGTCAATGTCTTAGCAGTTTCATTAGAATTACTTAAAATTCATACTAATAGACTATTTTGTAGGCCAACACGTCAATATCTCAATCTTCGGGGCACATGCAAGTAACATAATATAAAAATTTGAATACATTTCAGGTAAACGTGAAATGGCATCCTTCATCCTCTCTGAGGGATGCAGTGTAATGAAGAATCTTCTCTATTCCTATGAGTGCCTCTTTGCATTTCTTTTTATTTCATTTATGTATAAT